CATTTACATATTTCTTCAGCAAATTATTCTTTATCCTTCTCTTAAATATACACATTGATCTGGCATTTTTAACGTCATCCTCCAGATTATTCCACAATCTTACACCCTGGACTGAAATACTCCGTTCCTTCAAACATATTCTAAATTTGGGTTTAACAAACATCTCTATCCCCTTGAGATTATAACAACTTCCTCTTTTTACAAAATGTAACTGGATGTTTGAAGGTAATGTGTTTTTTATAAGCCCTATACATACCTGATAAAATACCATAATTAACCAAATCAGAGAATTTCAGTAACTTCAACTGATGGAACAATGAATTTGATGGGTGATGATAATGCTTTCTTGTGATAATTCTTACAGCTCTTTTCTGTACAAAAACAGGATTAGAAATTGTTTTACATGTTTTTCTCCAAACATCAATACACTCAAGTATCACTTTGAGGTACTTTATTCAAGACTGCAGTTAATAATACTCAGCAAACCCAAAAGGACTTTTGCTCTGTCTGTTTTACAGAAATTAAGCTAAAGTTTGCTGCTGTAGTAGCTGAGACTTATCCCCAACTAGGGCTGCACAATATATTGAAAACTTAAACTGGAACAAAATAAACTGCAATAAATGGTTGGCTCAAAAGTTTGCATTTGAGTTTTGTCACTCAGACGAAAGCTTGAAGTATTTCACCAATTAAATGGAGCCCTTCATGTATTTGACCAATTGGATGGCTCTYTTCATATAAAAAATATCATACTGCATTGAAAATGATTACCTTAAATTTCATTTTATTTGTGTTTTGTATTATTATTTGTTGTATGTATAGCATTTGTTTTGTTGTAAATGAAATTAATAAATAAAAAAAGATTAGATTTTTTTGTTATTGTTTTTGATGCTCGAGCAGAAAGACATCAACACTACATAGTTAATCATTTGTTCATTTATCTCAAGTCATATCGTCATCGCAATATTAAGCACTGTTATCGCAAATCATAGGTTTTCCTAATATCGTGCAGCCCTATCCCCAACACATACTCAATGCATTAACTGAAATCTTAGCTTAAAACCTTGGTATTATTTAGTGAAGTAGATTGAGGGTGCACTGATTGCAGTTTGCTGGCCAATCACTGATCTTTAAAAAAGTCTGATCTGCCAATTCCAGTTTTGTGTACAAGACCAATTTTGAAATAAGGGTGTTATAAGGTCACAATAAAACTTCAATGTTCCAATCTTGTTTTATTGTAAAACCTTGAACAACACCCTTGTAACAACTGTTTTGACTGTACATGAGGTAAAGCTCACTATAGAGAAAAAGGGGACAGCAGCTGATTTTCAGACCTTTGTGGAGGTAGATGAGAAGCCGATCTTTTCCACAAGCTTATCTAAGTATCAGCTGATCTCCGATCTCCCAAAATTAAGAAATCAGTGCAAAAAGTCGACCATTTTTATGTCTTGGCAGCTTCTGCCCCACTGGACTTTGATAAAACTTTCAGAAAGCTATAACTGAATGTACATCTATAGCTGATTAACTGTTGAACACAACCCAATTTAAGATCAACTGATCAAAAGAAAAAAAAAAGACTAGATTTCAGTAAAAATGACCGACATTGATCCAAAAGTTCCAGTTTTGTATAACATTGGTTCCCAAACTTTTTGTCTTCTGACCCACAAAATATCCATGGCAAAACCTTGTGACCCCAAATATTACTGGTCTGAGTAATAGTACACACACTTTGTTAATAACCCTAAAAACACAGGATTTTTGACAATCTAAACAGTTTGTACACAAATATAAATACTTATTTTTACT